GCATAATCAATCATGTCAATGTAGGAAGACTATACTGGAGCTTAGACAGAAAACATCTGTACTGATTTAAAGTTATGCTCAAGCTCCCGTCTTAAAAGAAATGGTGGCGGGGAGGAAACATATTAATTCTAGTAACCTCTCCCCTCCTTGCACATGGGGCCCCAATCCAGATGAAGTCAATGAAGTTAGTAACCCTCTTCTGTAATCAACGGGACAAGGAAGTTGCACCTTATGTTGCAACGTTATGCATATTTTCCAAGAAGCAAACTCCCCTTATGCACTGAGGCAAACATGGACAAAGCCATTCAGAAATTAAGATCTGTTGATTACAACAGGGTATGGGACTAACCTTCCCTGGGTTGAAGATGTAGTACTTAAAACACAAGACAAAGTATGGCAGCAGAATATTTTTTCAAACCCCGAAACTGTCCCACTACAGTTATTGCCTTTTCTTTTCAGATTTTTAGGTGCCTTTAAATATTTCTGCCTCTACAAATAATCATCTCACTCCACGTCTTCTCATCTTTTGTTTAGTTTTCATTACTTTAGTAGTACAACACACACAATGGTTCAAGCACCTCTTTCCTTAGAGAAAATCCTGTTATTAAAGGAATATTTTGCCAGAGCTACATCATCCCCTTGGGTTGTCTAGGTGAAATTAGTACGGTACATAAGTGAATATAGTATTCGAATAGCATATTCTTACCAAGTTGATTTGCTTATATTAAGATGAAAGAAGTTCATTACAATTTATGTAGTTGTTTAGTCATTGTGTCCGACTCTTCGTGACCCCATGGACCAGAGCACGCCAGGCCCTCCTATCTTCCACTGCCTCCTGGAGTTTGGTCAAATTCATGTCGGTAGCTTCGATGACCCTGTCCAACCGTCTCGTCCTCTGTCATCCCCTTCTCCTCTTGCCTTCACACTTTCTCAACATCAGGGTCTTTTCCAGAGATATTTCTCTTCTCATGAGATGGCCAAAGTACTGAAGCTTCAGCTTCAGGATCTGTCCTTCCAGTGAACACTCAAGGTTGATTTCCTTCAAAATGGATAGCTTTGTTCTCTTTGCAGTACAGGGGACTCTCGAGAGTCTCCTCCAGCACCACAATTCAAAAGCATCAATTCTTCAGCGGTCAGTCTTTTTCATGGTCCAGCTCTCACTTCCATACATTGCTACTGGAAAAGCCATAGCTCCAACTATGCGGACCTTTGTCGGCAAGGTGATGTCTCTGTTTTTTAAGATGCTGTCTAGGTTTCTCATCGCTTTCTTCCCAGGAAGCAGGCGTCTTTTGAAGGTAAAATCTATCACTGCCTCCATATCTTCCCTTTCTATTTGCCAGGAGGTGGTGGGGCCGGTGGCTATGATCTTAGTTATTTTGATGTTGAGCTTCAGACCATTTTTGTGCTCTCCTCTTTCACCCTTATTAAGAGGTTCTTCAATTCCTCCTCACTTTCTGCCATCAGAGTGGTATCATCTGAATATCTGAGGTTGTTGATATTTCTTCCAGCAATCTTAATTCTGGCTTGGGATTCATCCAGTCCAGCCTTTCGCATGATGTAGTCTGCATATAAGTAGGGAGACAATATACAGCCTTGTCGTACTCCTTTCCCAATTTTGAACTAACCAGTTGTTCCATATCCAGTTCTAACTGTTGCTTCCTGTCCCACATATATACGTATTTCTCAGGAGAAAGATAAGGTGGTCAGGCACTTCTATTTCTTTAAGAACTTGCCATAGTTTGTTGTGGTCCACACAGTCAAAGGCTTTTGTGTAGTCAATGAAGCAGAAGTAGATGTTTTTCTGGAACTCTGTGGCTTTCTCCATAATCCAGAGCATGTTAGCAATTTGGTCTCTAGTTCCTCTGCCCCTTCGAAATCCAACTTGTACTTCTGGTAGTTCTCGGTCCACATACTGCTGAAGCCTACCTTGGAGGATTTTGAGCATAACCTTGCTAGCATGTGAAATGAGTGCAATTGTACAGTAGTTGGAGCATTCTTTGGCATTGCCTTTCTTTGGGATTGGGATGTAGACTGATCTTTTTCAATCCTCTGGCCACTGCTGAGTTTTCCAAACTTGCTGGCATATTGAGTGTAGCACCTTAACAGCGTCATCTTTTTAGATTTTAAATAGTTCAACTGGAATGCCATCACCTCCACTGGCCTCGCTGTTAGCCAAACTTTCTAAGGCCCACACATTACAGCGGGAGCAATTCAATCCAAGGAATAATTTTATAGCAAGCTTAAAATAAAGTTGTTTTAGGTACAAGAGAAGACAGATTATAAATGCCATCACATAACTCTCCATCCATTTCCGTCACATCTAAATCAGTGCAATTCCCACCAGCAACAACAATTCCACCCAGAGTTACACAAGCACAGGGTGTGAAGTACAATCCTGGGCATCTCCATGATCACAGGTAGCAAAACTCTGGCCTATCCTGGAAAGTGACTGTGAGACTGCAAAACAGATGAGCCACCCCCTATGCCGGCACTCTCGCAATGTATTGAACTGCAACCCTAAGCATCTCTAGTAATATTGCCAGAGCTGGAGATAATGGCAGTGGCAAATCCTACACAGAGGTGCCATGTTAGAGAAGGCTGGAGCAAACAGTATTAGGCAACCTACTGAACCTACTCTCTGACTCAGAGCACGATGTATTCATGTATTCAGTTTATATAAAGTTTATAGAAATATGCTCAAACCACACAAAAAAAAATCCATTTCCTTAGATGAGTGCAATCAGCAACATAAGCACACTTAGAAGGATACAATTGCCAGTTCTAAAACAGACTGATGTTCTGGAGAAGAGGATCTTGCTTATTTTATTTTCTATAGTTGCAATGGTGCAAAGAAGTTTTATTCCCAGTGCTTACTCTCTCACACTCTCCCCACTACGGGAATCTGAACAATTCATCTGAGATGCTCCAAATGTATAGCAAAGACATGATTCAAGTGTCTGTCTGCCGGTTATATATAAAACAGCACACACGTTCCGTCACCGTTCATCTAAGGTATAAAAATGTTTTACACATATAGCCCAATACCCTGTGCAATATTTACTTGCAGAAAGAGCTTCCACTGTGGAAACAGAAACAGTGACCTGAGGAGAAGCTGGTCATATTGTATGAGACCATGACCCCACAGCAGCTTTTGCAGTTGGGAATTCTGCAGATGTAAATATCAAACAGATACTATGCATTGGGTGTGCAGAGGCCTACCTGTATCTAACATGACATGCAGGGCAGAAAAAAAACTTATCTCGCTAAATATACATAAACCTTATATATTGGTTTCTTCCACACGGCTAAGCAACACCCAGCCCAAAGAACATTCCTGTTGGACTTGAAATCTTGCAGTTTTTATATTTAAGTGATCCAACAAAACTTATTAACTCCCCTTCCCACATGCCTGATTTTGTGAAAGGAGCACATTTGACTATGGAAATGACCAAGGATAGGAGCTCAAAGGACAATGCGCAGGAAGACCTACAATCATTAAAGAAAGACTGAACCCCATCAAGAACCCCATCATTTTCTAACCACGGTAATATTCTTCATTTGTCTCCAGCTGCATCCACTTAATTCCATCCCCCAATTCTTCTGATAGATCCAATTTCCAAACCTTCTATGTCCAACTTTTCTATTCCACTCTTCTAAGAGTGCAATTACACTGGAAAGCCAAATCAGAGCTTTCCACTACAGTAATTTGATTCACAGCCTGCATTAAACTTGAAATCTCAGTTAATGCTTGCACAGGGACTACAGATTGATTTGGGAGTTTACCATTCATACTGGAAGCAATGCGATTCACATTCCAGTCCACAGCCCTCCTTCTTTCCTTCCTTCCTCTGGTCCCACCTCTGATGGGGAAATGATGGGGGCATAAAGTAGGAAATAATGATTATGATGACGCAGCGAGAAAGTGATAGGGTGATCCAGAACTAATCTCATACATGTAAGAAATTTTAAAACATTTTAAAAATTGAAGGGCGATTTGGGGAAGAAGAAACAAAGGGGCATGTTCCCCTGATCCTGAACTTCAGGCATGGATTACTTACATCACCGAAACACCATATATAGGCACCATCCATAGACAAGAACATATCACAGCTCTCTGCACAGGGGAAAGCCTGTTTGAATCATTCTGGCTTGACAAAATATAAATTCTGCAGCAGAGAAAAAAGGCCACTTTGGGAGCAAAAAGGGCTGGACCAATTTGAATCAGTTTTTGCATCCTGAAGTCTGTAAAAAGCCTCTTTAATTTTACCCATTAAAAAGCCAAGCAAAATGCATGACATTTGATCGTGTAATAAATAATCTTAGAAATGCAGAACTGAAAGGGGCCCAATGGATCACTGAGTCCAGCCCTATCAAAAAAACATGGTGGGGAATCTCACTCCCAACCTTTGGCTCTGCAGCCAGAGACTTAAGCCACTTCCTTCATTGCTCCTTCGTGGTTTTTCCAGCCAAAGAGGAAATAAAATAAATCCTTTATTAGGCAATAGAGTATGTACTACTGGCGGCCCTCAGATGAGGAGAAATGATTCATTCCGAGTTGCCTTAACTTGTCAAGCTGATTTTACAAGTTTTCAATCTCCATCTTGAGACTTTAGTTTAGAGATCCTGATGCCATAACGTTAAGTGAGAATGAGTTTTGGATTTTTCGGTTCCTCTCCCTCCACCGACTAAAGTTCCGTCCGCATTGTCTAGCCTACAGAGATCCGCTGAACTCAAAAGTTCTCCTTTCTGATTTTGTAGTGGTGCAATGAATTAAAGGTACTATGCGCGTGCGTGTTCTGTGCCCTCAAGTCGGAACAGAGTTATAGCGACCCTAATAGGGCTTTCAAGGCAAGCGAGATATTTAAGGAGTGGTTTCACCAGTTCCATTCCACTCGTGAAAACTGGTACAGTAAAGGTACTGTACTACCCAGCACTATTTTTCTATTGCTCTATAACGTTTCACTTTAAGGAAATAAGTGAGAGCCGACGCAATCCCTTACCCCTCAAGAGCACCAGCATGCCAATAGCGCTCCTGGGCGCCGCCATTTTGGACAAGCGCGTTGGGTCACGTGGCTGCCCGCCTTCCCTTCGCCCTCCCCGCGCTGGCAAAGGCTGGAAGGGTGGGTGGGAGCGCGGAAAGGTGGAGAAGGTGGATCGGGGCCCCGGAGAAGGGCGACGGGATTTGCAGGAGGGCTTGCACGTTGCCAGCCCCCGCCTTTGGGCGGAAAGGCAGTTGTGAAGGTCCCTCTGTTGTCCAGCGAGCGGGACAGGTTCCAAGGGCCGGGCGAGGGAAGGCAACTCGGCGCCAAGACGCTCTCTGCTGACCGTCCTTTGTCGGGACAAACCTGGAGGTGTGGTGGTTTCCAGAGAAGCCCAGTAAAATCTCATTTCCTCCCTCCCCCCCCAACACACACACACACACACCCCTTGGCCGCCCTTCCCCCTCCGTCCTGCTGCCGGGATTTTTTAATCGACGAAAATTATCAGGTCCCGGTTTGAATGCGCGCGAAGCAGGGAGCGCTGAAGGCGCCCCAAGTTGTCGGATACCAGCAAGAAAAGGAGGAGGCGGAGGGTCAGGCAATATCAGAGAAAGCCAAGGCTTCTGAGGGCGAGGGAAGCATCGGGGCTGGGCTGGGTTGGCGCGGCCCGCATCATTTCTTGGGTCCAGTGTGTCTGGCTTCGCAGAGCGGAGGGACGTGTAACACTCGTATAAGGACGTATGGAGTGTGTGTGTGTGTGTGTATTTAAAGGAGTACAAAGTCTGGCCCTCTTGTTTCCGAGCCAAGATGCGCGTCCCAAAAACGGGGAGAAGCAGCTACAGCGGCTGTGGGGTGTGGAAATGGCCCAGAAGGGCTGCTCCTTGCTGTTCCGTGACATGGGTCGTGAGCTGCTTTTCGTGTCCGCAGCCTCCGCGGGAACGCCATACAGCCCTCCACAACTTCCCCAGGAGTTCGCCACGTTTATCTTACTTTAGGGATTTGTACATGCTTTTCTAGGTAGAAATGCCCCTCATAGAAGCAGTTATTAAAATTTGTCAACTACAAACCAGGATTGCTTTTTCATTTGAAAGAAGTTTCAGTTAAAAACAGATTCAAATGATCAGGCCAGAAGACCCGTTTTAAAAGCAGTGCAAAAGCTAAACAGCCTTTGGGAGGGTGGGTGTACCAGTTGCCAACCAATCTGTCTGCCTTGTCCACCGCTGATCACCCTTTACTGTTGGTTATGTTCGCTGGTCATCTGTGATAACAATCCGGTAAGCTGTTCTCTTTGGAGACTAAATATGAAAGGAGGATTCGTTCTCAAAGATCTTCAAAGGCACAATGCAAGCTAGCTGAATAGTCCTCTGAGAGTAACACAGTGGAGCACCTTGTTTTCACCAAGGGATACTATCCTCCCATCTGCCCCACAGATCCTGCCCCCAATATGTTAAGTATAATTACATGCTGTTAAATTGATTCCAGATTATGATGACCCTTTTGTGTTTTTTAATAACAGAAAAAGCAGACACTTCCTAAAATTAATCTGAGCCCAAACTACCAAAATGTATTGTCGACTCTGTTTTAAACTTAATCTTTTGTGCCAATGTATCTGGAAGCTGTGTTATGGCAACTGGACTTCTCTCTTATTACGTTGAAACATTTCAGCCTAAAAAGGTTAAAAGAAACAAGTCCAGTTGTCATGACTCAACTTCCAGATAACCTCACCTGGATGACCAAGAATCTTCACAGATATATTTTTTTTGCGCCAGTGATTCCTCTCAGCATGTTCAGAGTATCTCTGCTTTACCGTTTTGTAAACTTAGTCAGTTGTCACACATTGATTTAAGAGGAAATGTGGCTAGTCTAGGTTGTATTGCTTTCAAAGAGGTCACGGCCCACTTAAAAGAGATGTGTGAAGAAATTGTAGGACAAGACATAGTAAATAGCTGGAATCCTATTGTATACATTGGTTTAAGTCAGATGGCATAAATTGCAGCAGTGAATTGCTGCTAGTTACAGAACTGATAATTACATTCCTTGTGTGCCCTGCCTAGAGTGCAGTGGGGAATACAACTCTTTAACTAGAGGCAGTTTGCACTGTTTAACTTACACTGACTTACATAAGTACCAGTAATATGATTCGAGTCAAAGCTAGGAAGTTTTCCCTGATATTCAGCATGTAGTGGAACATACTTAAAATAGTATGTTGCCTCAGGAAAATAATTAGCATTTTTTAAAATTTTAAAGCAGTCATATTACAAAAATTAGACATCTAATTCATTATAAAATATTTAGGAACACAGGTGGCAAATGTATCTTACTTTTTCCACTGTACCAGGCCTTGTTTGCCCTGATCTGCTCCCACTGCAGAGCAACCTTAGATTGTGTTCTTGTCTGAGGCACATAAATGACATTATCATTTCCCCTTGTCCCTATAAGAAGAAAATTTACAGCAGCTATAGCAGTTCATAGCCCTACTTGTGTTCAGCTGTCCTACAGATTCCCTCCCTGTTTTTTGTAAAAAAAAAAAAATACTGGATGATCTAAGAAGTAAATACAGCTTCAAAGTTATCAATTTCTATGTTCATATATTGGTAAAAACTAGTTTTCACAAGAAACAGCCAAGATTGTGCTCAGGCACAGTACCCTATGCATACTGAATGGGACTGTAAAGATCTAGGGTTCCAGCTCTGCAAGATTATATTTGAAATTTTATTTTCTATGTACAATGACATCTGTGTAATTGTGCTTTAGCATTCTGGTGCATAATCTTAGCGGACAACCTAAACATTTCAAGCACTGTTGAAGCAGGACATCCCTTTTCATAAGATGCCCCCCTTCAATGCAGAATAGGTGACCCTCAGTCTGATTTAAAGAACTTAGGTAAAGGTAAAGGTTTCCCTTGACATTTAGTCCAGCCATGTCCGACTCTAGGATGTGGTGCTCATCCCCGTCTCCAAGCCATAGAGCCAGCGTTTGTCGAAAGAGTTTCCGTGGTCACGTGGCCAGCGCGACTAGACATGGAACGCCATTACCTTCCCACCGAGGAGGTACCTATTTATCTACTCGCATTTACATGCTTTCAACCTGCTAGGTTGGCAGGAGCTGGGACAAGTGACGGGAGCCCACACCGTTGTATGGATTCGATCTTCTGACTGCTGGTCTTCCGACCTTGCAGTACAGAGGCTTCTGCGGTTTAACCCACAGTGCCACCACGTCCCTATGATTTAAATAACTGCTTTTACTGAATTCTGATGCAACATTCAATATTATTTTCCAAGTTAAATTATGTTTATGATTTGGGCACCAGGGATGTGCCATTCTGGTTTTTATATTTCACTCACCTGGATCAGGGCCTTATCTTGGAGGATGCATGGCCTAGGTCCAGTCTACTTTCTATTGTAAATGTACAAGAAAGGAAGCTCCCATGGTGCTTCAGGAGGCATCCTGTATAGAGTCTAAAAGGCAGTGGGACTACAACTCCCAGAAGCTTCCATTTTTATACATTCACAACAGGAAGTACAGATCTAAGACAGGCATGGAGCTTCCATGACAGCCCCTTCTACAGGTGAGCAAAGGTATCTATAGGTGTGTGTCTGTAGGCTGGAACCCCTAGAATTATCTCTGGGGAACTCTTGGAAAATTTGAGGCATTCAAAAGAATGGCACATCCCTATTAGGAGAGTACAGCAAAGGCTGACAGTGTTAGGCTCCTCCCCTTGGACAACTCTTTGACAGTCTCCTCTTTGTATTTTTGTGGTGGGAAAACCTATTCTCCAGTAGAATTCTTGGTCTTTGAACCATGTCACTGTGGGCGAGGGAAGAAGTGAATTCTGTTCTATTTGCCTTGCTTCACCTTATATGAAGATTAAAAAATCACTTAAAGATGGCCAAGATGCCCTTTTTCCATAGATTAACCCAGGACCCCACTTTTGTATCCTCTTCTTTAAGAACCCTTGCTTATAAGCATCCTCATGAACTTCTCACCTTTGGGTAATCTTACTGGGTAATCGTTTCCCCAAAACTATCCTTTGAGATGCTCTTTCCCCATTTCCATTGCCTCCTTTATATTTGTCTCTTCCTGCTAGGAACTGTACACACAGGGATTGACATCAATGCTGAGTGTCACCACTTCCAGTTGACCATGCCAGGTCTCACTAGCAACGAGAGAGGTGAGGGATGGGGGCAGTGATCCCAAACAGTTTTCCAAAAACTATAAAAAATCCAGACATATTACTATTAATGCATGTCAATCTACTTTATTTCAGCAAAGTGCTTCAAAATCTAAGCAGAGTTTTTTTCTTAAAATCTACAACACAAAAATAGAAAATATTCAAAATGCACAAAAAACCACAGTCATCTTGAAAGTGATTAAAGTATTGCATGAGATTCTGAAGTGAAGCAGTGATCGTGGATTTCTTTCACAACACAATGTACAGTAATCTGCACGTTCCCTAGTGAGAATCATCAGGCTTGAGCAAGCCGCTCTAAGACCCTTCGATAATCTGAAACAAGCTGCTGGAAGGTCTCTTCTAATTGTTTGTGTTGTAAATTTAGGTCTATTTGGTTCAACTGGTTGGTCAGCTCTTCTGGTCTCAAACATCTCCTCATCTTAGCGATCTCTCTCTGCTTTTTCTGAAAAGGAACAAAAAAGGAAGTTCATTAACATTATAGCATTATTAGAACTGACTACTATTCTTTAAAAGCAAACAAACAGCAGCATAACTCCCAAATCTGTTAAGTCTCATGAACAGATACTTCATTAAAATCTTGCTGTATTTCCTTATTCATTGGAATGTAGACTTTCCGAAAATGTTACACAATTGCTGATTATTTCCATTCCACATTCCCTGTGGTACATTTAATCAAGTCCACAGTATTTATGAGGGGTGGACAACGTGTGTTCAACCAGCTCCCTCCCCCAATTTTAGGGGAAAATATGTTGGCTCTGAAAGTCCCCTTGCCTTATGGAGTGTGGGGACAATTTTGCCATGTCCTGAGGGTGACCTTCCATCCCAGCATTTTCTGGCCATTAGAAGGCATTTGGGAGCTTTTTCAGTACCCACTATCCCCCAT